CTGTACTCACCCGGAAATGTAAGACTTGGCTGTGTGTACTGTATGGCTGGTTTTAAGCTTCCAGGTTGTCTTTGAGTTCTGGGCCTGGGCTTACAGTGCAGAGGAAGAGCTAAGCTTTAAATGTGTGTATCATTAACCATATATGTGAAAATGCTGGGCAGAAATACATAGCTTAAAACCTTAAGAAATCTGACCCCTGACCTTACAGCAGGCCTCTGGAAAGAGCCAAATTTAGGCCTAACTCAACAGTTCTCTGACAGGGGCCACAAGTTTGAAAATGAACAATGTTGGTCTCCAGTGAAAGGCCTGGATCTAGGCTATATATTGCCCTATCACTGAAGTAAATGTGATCCTGTTGAAGAGAGAGCCAGGCCTCTGAGTCAGCAGCAATTCTACCCTCTTCGGTGAGACTCTGTAAAAATGCATCACCTGGGGAGAGGTTTATCCTGTACTCACCCGGTAATGTAAGACTTGGCTGTGTGTACTGTATGGCTGGTTTTAAGCTTCCAGGTTGTCTTTGAGTTCTGGGCCTGGGCTTACAGTGCAGAGGAAGAGCTAAGCTTTAAATGTGTGTATCATTAACCATATATGTGAAAATGCTGGGCAGAAATACATAGCTTAAAACCTTAAGAAATCTGACCCCTGACCTTACAGCAGGCCTCTGGAAAGAGCCAAATTTAGGCCTAACTCAACAGTTCTCTGACAGGGGCCACAAGTTTGAAAATGAACAATGTTGGTCTCCAGTGAAAGGCCTGGATCTAGGCTATATATTGCCCTATCACTGAAGTAAATGTGATCCTGTTGAAGAGAGAGCCAGGCCTCTGAGTCAGCAGCAATTCTACCCTCTTCGGTGAGACTCTGTAAAAATGCATCACCTGGGGAGAGGTTTATCCTGTACTCACCCGGAAATGTAAGACTTGGCTGTGTGTACTGTATGGCTGGTTTTAAGCTTCCAGGTTGTCTTTGAGTTCTGGGCCTGGGCTTACAGTGCAGAGGAAGAGCTAAGCTTTAAATGTGTGTATCATTAACCATATATGTGAAAATGCTGGGCAGAAATACATAGCTTAAAACCTTAAGAAATCTGACCCCTGACCTTACAGCAGGCCTCTGGAAAGAGCCAAATTTAGGCCTAACTCAACAGTTCTCTGACAGGGGCCACAAGTTTGAAAATGAACAATGTTGGTCTCCAGTGAAAGGCCTGGATCTAGGCTATATATTGCCCTATCACTGAAGTAAATGTGATCCTGTTGAAGAGAGAGCCAGGCCTCTGAGTCAGCAGCAATTCTGCCCTCTTTGGTGAGACTCTGTAAAAATGCATCACCTGGGGAGAGGTTTATCCTGTACTCACCCGGAAATGTAAGACTTGGCTGTGTGTACTGTATGGCTGGTTTTAAGCTTCCAGGTTGTCTTTGAGTTCTGGGCCTGGGCTTACAGTGCAGAGGAAGAGCTAAGCTTTAAATGTGTGTATCATTAACCATATATGTGAAAATGCTGGGCAGAAATACATAGCTTAAAACCTTAAGAAATCTGACCCCTGACCTTACAGCAGGCCTCTGGAAAGAGCCAAATTTAGGCCTAACTCAACAGTTCTCTGACAGGGGCCACAAGTTTGAAAATGAACAATGTTGGTCTCCAGTGAAAGGCCTGGATCTAGGCTATATATTGCCCTATCACTGAAGTAAATGTGATCCTGTTGAAGAGAGAGCCAGGCCTCTGAGTCAGCAGCAATTCTACCCTCTTCGGTGAGACTCTGTAAAAATGCATCACCTGGGGAGAGGTTTATCCTGTACTCACCCGGAAATGTAAGACTTGGCTGTGTGTACTGTATGGCTGGTTTTAAGCTTCCAGGTTGTCTTTGAGTTCTGGGCCTGGGCTTACAGTGCAGAGGAAGAGCTAAGCTTTAAATGTGTGTATCATTAACCATATATGTGAAAATGCTGGGCAGAAATACATAGCTTAAAACCTTAAGAAATCTGACCCCTGACCTTACAGCAGGCCTCTGGAAAGAGCCAAATTTAGGCCTAACTCAACAGTTCTCTGACAGGGGCCACAAGTTTGAAAATGAACAATGTTGGTCTCCAGTGAAAGGCCTGGATCTAGGCTATATATTGCCCTATCACTGAAGTAAATGTGATCCTGTTGAAGAGAGAGCCAGGCCTCTGAGTCAGCAGCAATTCTACCCTCTTCGGTGAGACTCTGTAAAAATGCATCACCTGGGGAGAGGTTTATCCTGTACTCACCCGGTAATGTAAGACTTGGCTGTGTGTACTGTATGGCTGGTTTTAAGCTTCCAGGTTGTCTTTGAGTTCTGGGCCTGGGCTTACAGTGCAGAGGAAGAGCTAAGCTTTAAATGTGTGTATCATTAACCATATATGTGAAAATGCTGGGCAGAAATACATAGCTTAAAACCTTAAGAAATCTGACCCCTGACCTTACAGCAGGCCTCTGGAAAGAGCCAAATTTAGGCCTAACTCAACAGTTCTCTGACAGGGGCCACAAGTTTGAAAATGAACAATGTTGGTCTCCAGTGAAAGGCCTGGATCTAGGCTATATATTGCCCTATCACTGAAGTAAATGTGATCCTGTTGAAGAGAGAGCCAGGCCTCTGAGTCAGCAGCAATTCTACCCTCTTTGGTGAGACTCTGTAAAAATGCATCACCTGGGGAGAGGTTTATCCTGTACTCACCCGGTAATGTAAGACTTGGCTGTGTGTACTGTATGGCTGGTTTTAAGCTTCCAGGTTGTCTTTGAGTTCTGGGCCTGGGCTTACAGTGCAGAGGAAGAGCTAAGCTTTAAATGTGTGTATCATTAACCATATATGTGAAAATGCTGGGCAGAAATACATAGCTTAAAACCTTAAGAAATCTGACCCCTGACCTTACAGCAGGCCTCTGGAAAGAGCCAAATTTAGGCCTAACTCAACAGTTCTCTGACAGGGGCCACAAGTTTGAAAATGAACAATGTTGGTCTCCAGTGAAAGGCCTGGATCTAGGCTATATATTGCCCTATCACTGAAGTAAATGTGATCCTGTTGAAGAGAGAGCCAGGCCTCTGAGTCAGCAGCAATTCTGCCCTCTTCGGTGAGACTCTGTAAAAATGCATCACCTGGGGAGAGGTTTATCCTGTACTCACCCGGAAATGTAAGACTTGGCTGTGTGTACTGTATGGCTGGTTTTAAGCTTCCAGGTTGTCTTTGAGTTCTGGGCCTGGGCTTACAGTGCAGAGGAAGAGCTAAGCTTTAAATGTGTGTATCATTAACCATATATGTGAAAATGCTGGGCAGAAATACATAGCTTAAAACCTTAAGAAATCTGACCCCTGACCTTACAGCAGGCCTCTGGAAAGAGCCAAATTTAGGCCTAACTCAACAGTTCTCTGACAGGGGCCACAAGTTTGAAAATGAACAATGTTGGTCTCCAGTGAAAGGCCTGGATCTAGGCTATATATTGCCCTATCACTGAAGTAAATGTGATCCTGTTGAAGAGAGAGCCAGGCCTCTGAGTCAGCAGCAATTCTACCCTCTTCGGTGAGACTCTGTAAAAATGCATCACCTGGGGAGAGGTTTATCCTGTACTCACCCGGAAATGTAAGACTTGGCTGTGTGTACTGTATGGCTGGTTTTAAGCTTCCAGGTTGTCTTTGAGTTCTGGGCCTGGGCTTACAGTGCAGAGGAAGAGCTAAGCTTTAAATGTGTGTATCATTAACCATATATGTGAAAATGCTGGGCAGAAATACATAGCTTAAAACCTTAAGAAATCTGACCCCTGACCTTACAGCAGGCCTCTGGAAAGAGCCAAATTTAGGCCTAACTCAACAGTTCTCTGACAGGGGCCACAAGTTTGAAAATGAACAATGTTGGTCTCCAGTGAAAGGCCTGGATCTAGGCTATATATTGCCCTATCACTGAAGTAAATGTGATCCTGTTGAAGAGAGAGCCAGGCCTCTGAGTCAGCAGCAATTCTACCCTCTTCGGTGAGACTCTGTAAAAATGCATCACCTGGGGAGAGGTTTATCCTGTACTCACCCGGAATGTAAGACTTGGCTGTGTGTACTGTATGGCTGGTTTTAAGCTTCCAGGTTGTCTTTGAGTTCTGGGCCTGGGCTTACAGTGCAGAGGAAGAGCTAAGCTTTAAATGTGTGTATCATTAACCATATATGTGAAAATGCTGGGCAGAAATACATAGCTAAAAGCTTAAGAAATCTGACCCCTGACCCCGGGCGGACAGGCATGCCAAATTGAGTCTGTTCTGGTTTCTGTGGAGTCATCCAGTAGAGTCATCAGTCCTGCTTGAAATTCAACCCCGAGTCCAACAGTGCAAACCGTTTGGCTCTAGCACCTTCCTATCAAAAGTTATCCCCAAAAAAACTCACCCGACTTTTGACACTTAGAAATTAGCTGTTATTTCCTGTCCGCAGTGCGTCATATAGGCCGCAGCCGGGACAGCTTCTGACAGCTACTCTCCAATTTTCTCCAAAACACATCAGTCCTACTTGAAATTCAACCCCGAGTCCAACAGTGCAAACCGTTTGGCTCTAGCACCTTCCTATCAAAAGTTATCCCCCAAAAACTGTGTGTCATTCTAATCTGTAATATGGCATTTACATGTTTTAATTAAAGCAGTGGAAGCTGACTCATTTTACCCTGGTCTCCTAGAGCAGAAATAATGACTTAAATGAAAGCTGGCTGAATCAGAGTGTCACACTCTCATTCTCACCGTGTGTACAGATGCAAATGCCCCCCTCCCCCCACAGGCAGCTGCAGGACAGCTATGACTGTCTGCAGAGTTGCCTGTGCACAGGGTCTATTATACTCTGATCACATGTGATACAAAGGAAATTCGGCCAAAATCAACAAGTTAGTGTGTAGGTAGCTCTTTAGTGTTAGCAGGTTTAAAAATAGGTGTTTAGAATATTTCTCCTCAACTTCCACGCTACGCTCGGTTACCAACAGACATTGTTGAGTTTTTCAGTACAAGAATTTTCCAAGAAATGATCAGCTATTACAGTGCTTATAGTCGAATCTTTATTGTTTGCTATGTACAGGGGAGATAACAAAAAATCAAAGACACTGTTATGTACATAATAAAATTAAGATAAGTGTCAAGTTAAAAACAATTGCAATGTGCATACAACATGCTGTGTATATAGATATTATTGCAAGAGTGTTGAATGAATGGCATTTTGTTCACTCATCCAGCCAGTCGAGGTTCAGTCCTTCTCCCCGAAAAGATGTGCGCTTGACGCCATAATTAAAAAGCAGCTCCTCACAGATATCAATGTCTCTTGTGGCCTGCAACAGGATGACATCCCTCTCTCCTTCAGGGAAGTTCATCCTGCAATAGACTGGCCTCAGGTTTGCCTTCTTGGAGGAATGATTGATCCTCCGGCCCATGGTGTCTTCTGTTGGGTGACACCCACACGGGAAAGTCTGAGCATCTACGCAGAGGTCCCGACCACCACCATGGAAAAAGAAAAGGTAGCCCATCTCATCCTGGATGGACTCCATCATCTTCCGGCCCTCTGCTCCTGTGATTACCTTGCCATGGTAATCGCAAACAATGGATCCCATGGAAAAGGCTTTGGTGGCAACAACTCCTGTGGTCAAAAGAAGGTGCAATTAGTATTCACTCCAGGAGCACAATATCACAGTGTTTTACTGCTGGATTAATGCTCGCCTGCTCACAAGACATGTTTACATACCATGTCCTTTTGTGCCACCAAAGTCCTTGAGGGCCAGGCCTGTCCACTTTTGACTATGGAGCGTAGTGAGGATCCATGGATCCGTCTCCACCTGCACCCTACTGACTGGTTTCCACTTTGCCACTACGTTCTCGGGGCGAGGACAGTTGGCAGTCCAACCCTCTTTTTGGATGAGCAATGACACCTTGCTGACTGTCGGGGGCCGTCTCGAACACTGGGCTGTCAAAGACAAATGTTAAATTAATTTTCTTGTCCAAAATGTGAATTATGTTACTTTGATTATAGAAATATTGTTAACCTAATCTCCTAGCATAATTTCCAGAACACCAAGACGTGTAATCATTTTTTTGAATGATAAAGTGCGTCAACTTACACAAGAGGTGCTCCTCCCGCTTGGCAAACTGCACAGACCTCCACCTGTCATAAAAGACTCTGTCAGGTGGAAACCCTGCAGCGGTCCGTTTTTTTTTCGTGGGTGGGGTGCTACTCGCCGTCGCCGGGAAGTGCTGGAGAAACGCTCCAAAGTCCCTGTCATCCTGGTCAGCTGCGCCTCTGCCTCGCTTCTTTTTCCGACCTATCCTCTCATCAGCCGGCTCATCAGAAGGAGAGCTGAAAAGAATATTTCATAGTCAAACTCTGGTAAACAGAAAATATATGAATGTTGTATGTTTTGGATGATGACACAAACCATGTCGAAGTACTGAATCTGTGGGCTCTTCTCACTTCTTGGCTTGAAAAGCTTGGTAATTCATACCTGCAATGAAGAATAAATTTTAGATTATACCTCAATTCTTTCAGCATATTTTTCTTACAGAAAATAAAATAATATTATTTGAACTTGATGTAGTACATAAGCCAGCCACTCAACTTAATCCTTTTATATTTCTCTGTACAGCGTGTATAAATGCATACACTATAATACATGATTCTGCTAAAACTTACTGTTCATGCAGACGGTTGAGGTCGCTCGCAACGTTGCCAACTGGTATGCCCTGTTTGGACAGGAAAAATCTGCCCTGGTCGTCCACACTGTCCTGCAGACATGCTGGACGAACCTTCTGGAAGTATGCGTCCAGCATCTGTGGAGATCAGACAGGAAGTTAATGCTTCATTCTGATGCTAAAGTAATTCATATTAAGTCTTTTCAGGCTGCTAGAGAACTTATTACAACCCCACCATCCCCTAAGTCTTGATTTACAATCATCATCAGTCATTCATTGGCAAAAGTAAAAAATCATCATCAGTCATTTATTGGCAAAAGTAAAAAAAATCATCATCAGTCATTTATTGGCAAAAGTAAAAAAAATCATCATCAGTCATTCATTGGCAAAAGTAAAAAAAATCATCATCAGTCATTCATTGGCAAAAGTATATGAGGAGGTGCTGGTGTCCTCTGGGGGAGGGGGTGGGGGGGGGGGGGGTCAATCATATTCAGCCTTATAGAGAACTTACAGCAGAGTCCTCCACTGCGAGGGAAAATGTTGCACTCTTCTTTGTGGACGCTGTCAGTTCACTGACCCCCATTCGGATTCGTCCCTCAACATGTGTCTTGTTGACCCAATCTGAAGCCTGGAAAACAAATAAAGAACACAGTGGGGATTAATGACATGACTACAGGGTGACTTACTGTACAGTGTTTCCTCAGTGTGTATAAAGTCAAAGTACTTACTGTAAATGCCCTCACTGCTTCTGGTCGCTGGAAGTATCTCAGGACCAGGATGGCTTCGCAGAAGTAACGGAACAGCGTCTTTTGGTCTTCTTCCACATGCTGCTGATCCAGGAGCCTCCTGCGGATGTCCAGCATGTCCATCTGTGACACTCTGAGGACTCTCTGGCAGTCTTGGAGAGTCGGCTGAGCAGGTCTAGAATGATTTGATGAAAAAAACAAACAAATAAGGAGGCCAGTTAGAAATGTTTCTGTATCTGTGCCTGGCAGCGTTCCAAGATTTAAATTTAATGACTCTGCATTAAATAAAAAGTAATACTAGTGAATAACAACTCACTTTTTGTTGCAAGTTTCAACTGCAGCGCCTGGTGGTCTGTGACTGGATTCAGCAGGTGTGTCCATGGGGTCATTAAGAATTAAAAAATGCATGTCACGAAGGTCTTCCAGAAGAGCCTGTCTGGAAGCCTCATCGGGGTACCGCCTGACCATGACGTTGTAGTCCCAGGTTCTGCCTTGAAGGGTCCAGGCCTTCATCGACTTTTTGGCTCTGTCCACCTCTGCATTCCTCTCCTCATTTGTGTGGTTCTTCAGGCAGACTCTTAACAGGTGGTTAGGCAACAGCTCCTGTGGTCTGAAACACTGCAGACAGGAAACGATGCGGCGATCCTTGTCACTGTGAGAGAGAAGGAAGACGGTTTAGTTTGATTAAAATCGTTTCATAAAACAAAATATTCCAGAAAGACTTGAGACAAGGAAGTTTTTGATTTGGCGCTACATAAATAAAATTGAATTGAATTTAATAGCGTTGATGGGAAAAAAAGATTGGATTTGACCTAAATGGCACAATAATCACATTCTCAACACAGACATGTTTACTTATGTCATATAAAGAAAAACTTTGAAGGTGAAACAGATTCAAAAGGGAGGGGGCTGGTGTGATCCTAATACAATGAGGTGCAAATTGGACACTCTAATTACAATGCCACACTGCAGTCCAGACTGCTGCCTCTGAAAAAGCCTTTGTTTTTGGATTTTAGGCCATGATCAAATATATGTTCTTGTCAAATTATTATTTTATATACTTATTATTTCTAAGTCAGGGACAAAACACATACAGCTTGTAGTTAACTCAAAGTTAAGAAAAGAATAACTGTAGTAACTTAGTAATTTAGTCATTAAGGAGTGTTTTGCTAGATTTTTGCTCATAGTATTGTCAACCAACAGGCCACCTGGGTACAGCAGTAAGGCTGTTAAATAACAAGAAATAGATTATTTACTTAAGCTTACAGATGTTAGTACACGTGAATGCATTCTTAAAATGTAAAGACAGAAAATACAAATGATCTGAACTTACCGCTTGGGAGCCATTCTTCGCAAATGAAAAAGCTAGTTTACAAACAAAGAAAAATGCAGGAGGAATCTTCAGTGTTTTCTTGAAGAACTGAGTACATGGTGCCTCTGAGGTCTCACCTTATATGTCCACTTGATAGTCCCTCCCACCTTTCTGCAGCAGCCAAGAGGGGGGTGGGCTGACCATGACTGATTTGTTTTTAAATAAAGTAAGTCAAATGTAAGAAATGACAAGGATGAGTTACATAACACATTTTAATACATGTTCAGTGTAGGGAAATCTGATTATTCTGATCATTACATACAATGTTGGCCTGAAATACTGAGCCTGAAATTTTGGGAAATGTTTGATTTGTAGGCCTGGGCTTGCAGTACAGAGGAAGAGGAAAGCTTTAAATGTGTGTATCATCAACCATATTTCTGAAAATGCTAGGCAGAAGTACATACCAAAAACTTTAAGAGATCTGACCTCTGACACCAGGCAAACACAAGTTTCAAAATAAACAATGTTGGTCTCCAGTGAAAGGCCTGACTCTAGGCTATAGATAGTATAGTAAATGTGATCCTGTTGAAGAGGGAGAATTTTACCCTGAACTCACCCAAAAATGTAAGAGATACAGGACAAGCAGACTCATTTTACCCTGGTCTCCTAGAGCAGAAGTAATGACTTAAATGAAAGCTGGCTGAATCAGAGTGTCACACTCTGATTCTCAGCCTGTGTACAGATGCAAATGCCCCCTCCCCCCACAGGCAGCTGCAGGACAGCTATGACTGTCTGCAGAGCTACCTGTGCACAGGTGCAAGTTTACCTGGAATGTGGTTGTTTAATTTAACTTTCATCAGAAATAAGTTGTTTGCAGCTAACCAGTCAGGGAGCATCCAGCATACATACAAACAATTTGTTTCTGTCTGTAAACAACCTGTACAGTTTACCCTCCTTAGTGACATGTAAATAGGTTTGATGTATGAATACATCTTTATTAGCAACCACTCAGAGTTTGACATGTGGTTCTATTATACTCTGATCAGTGATCTCAGAACAATGGAGGTGTGTTTTGGACACACACATCAGTATGGCACACATGTCTCAGTTTTAAAGTTTTTAATCATCACATGTAATAAAATGTTAAGAAGGAGACTACATGAAAAAGTGAGTGTGTAGGTTTATAATGAGGTGGAATAGAAGCTCTTTAGTGTTAGCAATTAAAATTGCTGTTTAGATATTTCTTTCCTCCCTCTGCAGATGCTTTCTTCCTTTGCAGGCTGATGGTCTGTGGCCTGCTTTCTTCTGTCTTCCAGCACACTCCATGTCTTCCCTCTGCAGATGTTTGGAGCTCTGTCTTGTCTGCAGAATCTGTCTTGTCTAACCAAGTGTCTTGCTTACAAAGTCACACCCTGCCCCCTCTAAACAATAGTAAGCAACCCGATTGGTCTGCTTGACCATGACATCACACAGCTGGTGCTGCACAGATAATAAGTACTGCAGTTAAGGAACCATTCATTCACTTTGTTTTCGATTCTGACTGCAGAGACCACCTTTTGCCCTTTGCAAGGACATTTTCAACTTGAGCTACACTCCTGTTTTTGTGCTCCTTGTCTTTGGCAGAATTTTCTATACTTTCATCCCAAGACTCTCACTCCCTTCCCAAGGACTTCTTTTTATTTTTGGAAAATGGCAGCAAAAGCCGACAAGTAAGTTGAAATTTCTTTTCTCTAGTGGATTTTTACTGTTTGTGTTGTGTCTAATCACATCTGTGCCTGTAATTGACAATTCAGTTGACATGGTATGGATAAAGGCAGGATAAAACTAATGTTGATAATAAGCAAATTGTGAAAAACCCAATTATAGTTTTCACTCTGTGTTTTTCTATTATCTGTTTAAATTAAGGCTTGTCCCAAAAACATGTTGAAATAGTTTCCAGAGTGAAAACTATATTTGGGTTTTCCACAATTTGCTTATTATCAACATTAGTTTTATCCTGCCTTTATCCATACTAACTTAGGTCACCATAAGTAACAAGTCACTCCTTTGGAAACTATTTCAACATGTTTTTGGGACAAGCCTTAATTTAAACAGATAATAGAAAAACACAGAGTGAAAACTATATTTGGGTTTTCCACAATTTGCTTATTATCAACATTAGTTTTATCCTGCCTTTATCCATACTAACGTAGGTCACCATAAGTAACAAGTCACTCCTTTGGAAACTATTTCAACATGTTTTTGGGACAAGCCTTAATTTAAACAGATAATAGAAAAACACAAAGGAGTGACTTGTTACTTATGGTGACCTACGTTAGTATGGATAAAGGCAGGATAAAACTAATGTTGATAATAAGCAAATTGTGGAAAACCCAAATATAGTTTTCACTCTGTGTTTTCTGTTTAAATTAAGGCTTGTTTCTCATCCCAAAAACATGTGAAATATATTCCAAAGGAGTGACTTGTAACTTTTGGTGACCTAAATTAGGTCAAGGGTGAAGTGTGAATTGGTCAGCCACTTTAGCACAACTCAGGCCTCTGTCCTAAGAATGCTGAAAAACCAGTTCTGGTAGCACTACAGTATGAGAGGTTGTGGAAACTGAACCAGTGGAATACTTCCCTCTTAAACCACAACTTTCTGTATATTTGTAATTTTATGTATATTTTATATTTTAACTGTATATTTTATGTAATAGACAGTCCAGCCACAACAGCAAGCAAAAACATTCATTCATTTTCACAGTTGTAATCTTTGGTGTGTCTGCTTTGTCTCACAGCCAGAAGTCCGATCGTCGCATCGTTCACTGCCTGCTGTGTGAAAAACCACAGGACATGCTGACGACGCATCTGAGCAGGGTCTGCATGAAGAAAAGCACGCCTGAAGAACGGCTGGAGGAGGCGAAGAGGGCCAAGGAGTCCTGCAAGGAGTGGACACGGGAGGCCAGAAACTGGGACTATAAGGAGATGTGCAAGCGGTACCCCCACAGACCATCTAGGCTGGCTCTTCTGGAAGAGCTGCGCCAAAGAAAGTTTTTTGTGGCCAATGCTCCGAACACTGCAGACCTGGACTCCGAAGAGCCGTCCACCAGCACAGCTGCCGTTCCCACAGCCAGTGGCCTTTCTGGAGCAGCCGGTGGCAGCTCTGAAGCGGCCGGTGGCGTCTCGGTGGCGGAGGATAGCAGCTCTGAAGGCAGCTCCACCGATCCAAGTGACCGAACATGGCAAAAGTAAGTTCTAAACCTCACACACACACACACACACACACACACACACACACACATCAGTTCAGAAACTGTGAACAAACTGCAAGATTGATTTGAGCTCATTTTCGTCTTTCTCTATTTTTTTCAGAGATCAAGCAGAGCAGAGCAAAGGTGTCCGTGCCAACATGATGAAGATGGGGCTGTATGAAAAGTTCCCTGCAGAAGAGGCCATGCTGACGGATTTCAAGGGCTACCTGATCAATACCCTGCAGGTCCCAAACTGCCAGCAGGAGGTAAGATATATCCCATGTGTCTCTTTTCAGTCTGTTCCATGTTGCTCTTTGTAACCGCGAAACGTTTTAAAATATAGTAGCACAGCACATGTAGAGCAGCTCTCTGCGTATTAAGTTCCATAACAAATTTAGATAAAACACAGCTTTTTTTTCGGGGTGTCTTTGTGCGGCTGGCTGGTGTGTGGCTTTTCTTCTCGCTGCATCGTCATCTCACACTTCTCTTTTTCTTTCATCACAGGTAGACAACGTCTCCAGGATGCTGAGATTCATCCAGCCAAGTGGGGATGAAGTCAGCTTGGACTTCCTGCTAAAGTCAACTGAGACCAAGGACTACCTCACCCAACTCCGTCACGCTGAAATGGGCCCAGCCACCATACTGAACTACATTAAAAACATGATACGGTTTGTTCAGTATTTGAAGACCCACCTCAACCTGGCTGCAGCGGATGCTGACTTCTACAGGAAGTGCCAGGCCTACCTCGACCTCCTCGTTGCCCTCAGAAAGCCAGTGGCCAAGTCCAACAGCAAGGTCACCTGTAAAACCAGGTCAGTCTGCCTCCCATTTATTTTACTTTAATGACTTCCTGCATGTTGATAATACTCATGTGCTGGCTGTACATCTGGGGTTATGTGACACAGACATGTGTGTAATCCTCCCCTGCATTGTTGTCTTCTATCATGTCATTCTAGGTTTGAACGGTTCCACGAGGGTCAGAGGAGCCTTCAGGAGTGCCAGGCAGTCCTCCGGAAGGCCAAGAAAGACATGCTGTCCATTTATGGGAGGCTGATGGAAGGCGACCACGTGGCTTCAGATCAAAAGACGCTGTACCGGTATTACTGTGAAGCAATCCTGATCCTCGGTCACTTCCAGAGACCGGGGGCGGTGGAGGGAATGACGGTAAGACCTCAGTTTTTGTGGGAGTATTTTAGGGGGCAATATTAGGGTATATTAGGTAGTCTGCGAAGAGGGCCTTTATGTCAGTTATTCACTCTGTGTGTATTTTTGTTTTTTCAGACAGCAGAGTGGGGGAAGAGAAAGAATGCTGGGGGCAAAGTGTGCGTGGCTGTCAGCGACCACAAGACTGCGACAATGCAGATTGCTGTGTTTGCCCTCACTATGGAGGAGGCTGCAGTAAGTACGCTTAATACAAGCTAAATTGTCTTACCATGAAATACAGTAACACCAACAATGAACCAACAGATATTAACAGATATTTTTTTGTTTTTCTCTGCAGATGCTGGACGCATACTACATGTGGATCCGCCCTGACTACATCCGCCCGGGTCAAGATAATGAAGACAGGCTGTTTTTGTCCACAGCGGGCACAAAGGTCAGGAGTGCGGGCAATGACGTCACTCGCCTGCACACGCAGTAAGTATTAACAGCAGTCCATAGGTCCAAAAATATCTGTTGAATTAGCGTAACGGATTTGTGCATTTAATAAATAGATCATGCCCCAAGAAAATTATATAATTCAAGTTTGGGAGCTTCATCTGATATTTCTCCCCCATTGCAGCTACAAACTGCCGGACATCAAGAGCCAGGAAATTCGTAGGACCGTGGAGACAGATGCTGCTGCCAACTTCACGGAGGAGCAGAAGGCGTCTGTGGCACACTACATGGCCCATTCGACTGCTGTGGCAAACCAGCACTACAGGATGAAGACCCTGGACACTGTTGTGGCGACCGCGAACCTGCTCAGCTCCCTGACACGGTATGTAATCATCTGAAACAGTCAATTATTAATTAAATATTAATAATTATAATGTCTCTCAGTGCTCACCCACCTGTTTGTCAGTGTGTAACCTGGAAACCTTTTCAATATTGCAGCTCCTCTTCTGACGACTCTGGCGAAGAGGGTGCCCGGGAAGAGAAGAAAATGCGAGTGGAAAAAGAGGGCAGACCAACCCCGGACTTTAAAGTCTTTCTACAGGTCTTCCCTGTAGGAATCACTGGCCAGCCACCCAACAAAACGCAGAGAGCAGACGCTGGGTTCCCCACCGATAGAG